AATCAGATCATGTTCATCGGGTGACCGGGGTCGAGCATTGTTCCCTTACACAATTAATTGATTTCTCTTAATTCCGAATACCGGTGTCGTCGTGCGTTTCCTCTTCGTCACCGGTGTCCGATTCAGATGTTTTCTTGGTCAGCAGACCGGGCTCGCCGTGCGTTTTCCCCGGGGGGGGGAGGGGGGAGCGGTATGACCCAAGTGATCTGAGCCAGCAGCTGAGAGGGACATCTCGTGCGCTTTCCCTCGGAGATCTCCGACCGCCCGCCAGCGGTTCGAATGTGCGCGTATCTATTCGGACCGCCATTTTTAATCAATTATCGCGTGAGATAATTACGCGAAAGCCTGACTCGAAGGTGTTGTGGCATTCGGTGCATCTCCGTATCCCGCTCGATCTCCACCGACGAGCGTCTAAATTATATTATCGTTATGCTATCTATTGCTTTTTTGTGTTTACTACCTCGAACTGCTCGTCTATTCATAGACAGATCTCAATTGTTGTCGTCAGAAGCGAGAAGATACTCGCGCTGAAAATTCTTGATGCAAAAACACGCATTCACAAAGATGTCACTTACCTGTAAAATAGCGCGGACATTTCCCTCCCGCTTTCAAATCGTTCGTTATCTCTAACAAATGAAAAATCGTAAAAATAACATGACACGCAACGTATCCCGTTTGAATCGAACCTATCCTTTCTCATGATTTCATCACGTTAATTTCACGACTATTTATCGATCAGTCAGAGCAAAAGTTCAGATTACAGATCTGCTCGACTAATTGCAAGTGTCACTTCGTGAACATATCTTTACGTTTCAGCGTGAAATTCTGCAAGAATTTAGACATTGAGTTTTCTCGCTTCCGACGTCACCGATGAAGATGGCCGCGGCGATCAAACAGGAATCTTAATAGAACAATTTTTCTAAGGAATTAATATCAATTAATATCTCGCCAAGTTTCTCGATATTCCGTATAGCGCAACGCCGGCTCGTCACAGGAAATAATAATCACAGTAGTTTCTCCGCGCGCTTCAACAACGAAACACCGACGGCGACTAGACAAAACTACCTCCGACCTTCGCGTTAGAACGGATCGTTAGAATGAAATTAGACGGGATTATCGGCGGAAGTGTCGCCTTTAAATCCTCCTGCAGTGATCTCCGCGCTTGCGGCGAGCATGCAGAAAGGTATACCTGGAGAGCGCCCTCACCGGCGCCGGGGGAAGAGTCCAAGTGCATAGGGGTCGATGAGGGTCGAATTGCTCTCGTAATAAGTCCTCGAAGGTCGTTGAAAGAACGCGGACAACGGCCCCTCGTCGTCTGTCGCGCGACGTTCTTCAGGGCCGACGCGTCGGGCGCCTCTCGCCGAGTCGGCGGTGCACGCGTTGTGCACACACGAGCTCCATCGTCGCGGAAGTCTTTATTCGCCGTCACCTCTTCCCCTCGCGAAAATCACGCGGTCACGCTCGCTCATGAATGGATGATCGTCGCCGTCGCGCTCATTCGCAGCGGTTAGTTTACGAGTATGTCGCGCGCATCATTTAATTTATTTGAATAATGGATGGCAGGGCGCGCGCGCGCGCACATGTTCTAAACAGGAACGGTTAGAACTTGGGGAATAGTAGGAAACTATTAATACAGTAAGCAACATATACATATATGAATATGTAAGACGACGAGTCCTTTGCGATGCAAATTGTCGGTGCGGTTCCGCGTCGGATTTACCATAATCCGCTACGGTTTATCGTTTCTCGCCGCGAAGCGCCGTTTCTGTTTCCTCCCCTTCGCCCTGTTTCACTGCCCCCTCCCCCTCTTCCTCCCCCATCTCCGCTTATCCTCCTACTTCTCTCTTTTTCTTTTCATTGAGGACATTTTCTGCGCGTTTACATCCACGCGTTTTCACTGTCGCGAGCGCGAGCGACGTCGCTTTAATCGGTTTACGGTACGTACGCTCCGATTCCGATTTCTGATCCGCTTTAATGGTATGCGAGCAACTAACGAATTATGTAAATACAGAATTCGCGCGCTTTATTCGCGCTCCGCTCGGGCTCGGTTGGCGAACGCTCGGGGGCGGCCTGTGGGGCGGCAGGAGCGAAGGAAAGGGGCTTTTGAAATAAGGTTGCCGCAGCCAGCGAATTCACGCGGCTTGTTGGAAGACCCCGGTAGACGATGCGCTCCGGCGGATTCGCTATTGAAAGTGGGGCCGCGGTTTAAGCCATTTCGCTCCTGCTTCTCTATGATACGACTATTCGTGTTTCTCCCCGATACCGACTAACAACTTAAGCTCCGTGGTAATGCCTGGAGTCTGCGGATTAGAGTGAATTTCATACGCCCCCCTCTCTCTCTCTCTCTCTCTCTCCCTCTCTCTCTCTCTCTCTCTCTCTCTCTCTCTTTCTCTCTCTCTCTCTCTCGCGGCGGCGGCGGCTCCTTAGACGTCAGAAATGACGGGTAAGCGGGCGAGCGTTCGCGCGCGCCGGACAAAAGTCCCGCGTGTGACAAAGTCCGCGAACAGTCAGGTTCGCACCATTACGGGCCGACCGGACGAATCCTGCGCGATCTTGCAGAAGGGAATTGTATTATTTATTTAAATCGCGCGTGGTGTAACGCGATAACGGCGCGGCGGCCAGTCGCTCGCGTGCATTAATATTGAATAGATACGGGGCAGACGTATCGCCGAGCGTAGCTTTCGAAGCAGAGGGCGACGGCTCAAGCAAGCCGCTTTAATGTGGCCTCGGGACATAAGGGTGAGTGCACGCACGCGTGTCCCTTGTATCCAGCGCCGAAATACGCTGCGTGCGCGAGCGCGCGCGCTGCCATGCGTGAGTCGAGGATTATATCAGGCCGCAGGATGCAGCGTTTATTTTCTCCTCGGGTGACCGTAGTCTGTGTGTTTCAAGCATATATCATGGTATTACGGGCTTTAACGAGCGGCAACGCGCGCGCGCGCGCGCGCGCGCTTCCCGAACATCCAATTAATGCATTATAAATCGACAATGTAGTTACAAATTCTGTCGCTCCCCGTCGCTGAATTAATTATCGCGGAGAAATTTCGGAGGGTGGGAAACGGAGAGAGACGGAGGGGGCCAGAGAGCCGGGAAGAACTTACAGTCGCGGCGCGATAAAATCTCGGATTTTGGGTTGCCCATGAAGGGGGGAGCAGCGTTTCACTTTGAAATTTGAGCTCGCCGCCGGTATTTTTTATACGATATTTCCCACATGTTTCGTTGGTTGGTATTATTGTCGGCGCGCGCACACGCATACGCAGCAACAATTAATTTTACGACGTCAAGAGGGTACTTTTTACAAAAAGTTTTTGCCCGCTGCGACAGCAGGCTATTTGATATTTGATGCTGTCTCCTCTCTGTCTCTCTCCCTCTCTCTCCCTCCTCTCTCTCTCTCTCTCTCTCTCTCTGTCTGTCTGTCTCTCGCTCTTCCGCTTTTTCGCTACCTCTTTACCAAATCAATATTCGAAACATACAAATACTATAATAATTGACCAGATATGCCGTTCAAGAGTAACGCTTTTACCGGAGTCGAAATCAATTTTTGATTTTGATCGCCACCGCCGCCGTCATTATTTTGCTTCTCTTGCCGCCAGTATTTTGTTCTTCTTTGCGTTGTTTCGTTCGAGACAAAGATTGCTCTCTCGATACGGCACGCGCGCTCGAAAACATGACGCGAGAGTGGACTAACAGTCTTTTTTTTTCTGGCACTGTTATTTCCCCTATAGTGAAATGTGTTTCTATCAGGACTGTTTCTATTTTAGTTTCCGTGCTGTTTGACGACACGCGGTCTCGAAGCATCGCGCATATCAGGTGCATTCTGAAAGGTACGCGGACATGATGTCCACGCGTTGCGAATTTTGTTGCTGCGGCTGTTGAACCGCTGCCAGTGTTTTGTGCCTGCTGCACTCCCTAACTCGCCATTACAATTTGGATTGTATCCAGCTGATACCTCGCATATGGCGCGAATTTCGACGTAGCGCGTTCGGTTCTTAGTCTCGGAGGAAAGAATTGGGACGTAATGCGCGAGGAGCGCTAAAGTGGGACGCGAGGAGCGCTAAAGTGGGTTCTAAAGGAAATAAGTACAATCGAATCTCGAGACGTGTGGAGCGTGTTGCTTTCGTGGCTGTGTGTGGGCTACGTATTCCTTAATATTTTACAGAGATTTTGAGTGAAATGTTGGCTCCCCTGTGCGATCCTGCGTCAAACACGGAAGAAGTAAAGTCACGCACGAATTATACAGACGGAATGTTTAATTCCGCTTTTAATATCGTGTCTCGCCCCTTCTGACCCCCTTTACAATGTCTCTGCCGACTTGTCGAGATTGCAGACGCGTCCCTTGTCTGTCTTTGCCTCGCGATTTCCTATTAAGCGATACTTTAGTAGGCTAGAGAGAGAGAGAGAGAGAGAGAAAGAGAGAGTGACTGCAAGGAGTTTGATCGTCCGTACACTGCATAAATTTCACGACATTAAAGCCTTCCTCTGTGCTTAACAATCCGGCGCGTCCCGATAACTCGACGCTTTCATCATCGAGAATGCAAAGGTGCTTGTGCGCGGATCGAAGCAGCTCTCGCGAAGATGCTGTCTCGTCCATTATCAAAAATATTTTACTTGTGGGATTGTGGAATCACCGTGCTACGCGCCAGCTCGTTTTTCGCAGACGAAGACTTTTGCCCAAGAAGACACGTGTCCTCGTAGAGAGAAAGAGAGGAGGAGAACAGAACAGCTTGTGCCCGTTTTTTTTACCAACGCTGATTGTACCTTAAGCTGAGTTTAAGTCTTCGTCCGGATAGAGTTGAAAGCCAGGGTTAACGTTCAGTCAACGGTGTTGACGGGAATAGACGTTAGGCAGTCTCGGGCGAGCGAAGAAATGAAATCGCCCGCGCGATCTCCGCGAGGTGTTGACGATAGTTGACCGTTTCTTCCCTCGCGAGACCTCCGTGGCGATACAACGTGCGATAACGCGCTCTCAATGTGCCGTGTTCGTCCGGTTGATGTTGCAGTTACCAAGCTGAGGGAGCACTGGGACGAGACAAATTCAAAGGTCATGCAAAGGAAGACGCAACTGGACGCGATGCTGGGGGACAGTCAGCGATACGAGGCCAAGAGAAACGAGGTGGAGGTCTGGCTGGCACGAATGGAAACTCGACTCGAGAGAATGCGAGCTGTTGGACATACCGCCGACGTACTCGAGGCGCAGCTCCGGGAACAAAAGGTACGAGGCCGAACTCTCTTCCAGTCTTTCTTTCCAGCACGTAACTGCGTTTGCCCTTCGAGTCGGCGAGTTTTTAGTGCCGCGTGCGCTTGAGAAGTGTTCTTAGTTGCGGACAGTGAGGTAAAAGACTCGCGGGGAAGCACTACGAGAAGACACACGGTAATATCTCCATTCGTCCTCCCTCTTTATTCACCGTAACGTAACCGTAAACGTCGCGATGATTCTCGATTGATTCGACACAGAGCTCTGCTAAAAATCTGCTTTCAAAAGAAAGACTGAAGATACGGGCGTAATGGGACGTGATGGGACGATAAAATGGGGCGAAAATAAATGGTACTTTGACCTGAGCGTGTTGCTTTGTATCTTGCGGTATGATTATGCGTGCATAAATCTCTTATTGAATGTTTTATAGAGATTTTGAGTAAAATGTGTTGGCACGTTGAGCTCAGGAAAAGTGTCACGCACGAATTACGCTCGTGGGGAAAATGATGTAGTAGAAATTACGTTAAATTTATATTTCTCCTTACGGTATATTGTCGTAACGCTAGAGTACATCAATATTGCTACAGGAATGGTAAACGATAAAAAAACAAATTCAAATAATCATAACATCGTATAATATAAAAAACAAAGTCAGACGTGCATTACACTTTTAAACAAACGTTAATTTCGCTCATAGTCCTGTATGGGCCGAGATTACAAAAAATTTTCTTGCAATTTTTGCTGCAACCTTCACTCCATGTGAACAAAATTATATATATCTTTTAATTCCGGCTCTCACTTCTTATCCCTTCAGTGCCTCTTCCGACTTATCGAGATTGCGGTCGGCTTCAATAAATATCGACAAATTCGCGTAACTGCGAGCCGTTAAAAAGCGTCGCGATAAATCACGTCGAAGCGCGTCGACAGCGTAGATTTTTCTGTATCGTGTGTCGCGATAAAAGAATCCTTTTAATATCTCGAGAGATCTCGAAAGACACCGATCGCAATAAAACGCGCTCTCTCGCCTGTGCGCAGTTTAAACGGCGCGTCTGATCTGAGTGTCAAATGCCATTCCCTCTATTTCTCGTTACGCGATATATTCGCTGGTCCTCTTGTTGCCTCTTACGTCGCGGCTTATTTTACGTTATTTTTATGACGGGACGTTTCGGCAGCGCGTTTTTCATCTTGTGTTCAGCGCGGCAACGCGCTGCTATTGAACTGTGTGTGCCCGGATCCGATACTACTTTGTTGTCGCGCGACACCACGAAAGCTTGTGAATTATTGTCCGCTTCTTCGGATATTCAGACGGGGCAATACGCACAGAGCTTTCTGCATCAGAAAAATTATCTTCCTTCGTTTACATTGTGTGTAAGGAAGATGGGAGGGCGAGCTCTGTCGTAACGTGTGCAGCTGTCTGAGTATTCGCCGCAAGCGGAGTGATGAATAATTTCGAAAATACTTCCGAAATTATTATACGATATGCGCGCGCTCGCGCATACACATCGAATATATATTCAAAGTTGGCCGGCGCAAATATTTTCCAAAGTCGCAAACTTTTCCCATTTGTAAGCAGAATTAAAAAGAACGAGCACTTTGAAATCCATCTGCCTGGTAATAAGCCCTTTCCAGTAATCTTCTCCCACTTTACATACGGCGGTATAACGCGCTCCGAAAAGAGAAAAAAAAACGGGAAAGAATTGGAGGGAAGGGAAGAGATGGAGCTTCCCAACGTCTCAATCAGCGAGATCTCAGCCGGCGAAGCACATCACGCACGAGGAGCTCTGTTTAGATTCAAAAGAGCCAAATGAGATATTCATGGAATAATTTATTTCCGCGGCCTTCGCGTCGCCTTTGAGTGGAACGCATTTGCTGCGCTTCTTCTTTCGAACTTGGTGTGTCTTCTGTGAATAGGTCTCGAGATGAAAGCATAGTTCAACTTAACGTTCGCGTCGTCGCTTCAAAAGCTAAGGGGTGAGGAACAGTGGGAGGGAGGGAGGGAGGGAGGGAAGGAGAGAAAATGATGTGTAAGTAACACGTTCGGCTAACACATCTTATTTAACTCTTAACTGGTTTAACACTCCGAGGTGTGTCTCAGTGTGACCCTAATGTGTTTTAGTTTTACGATAATTCCTAAACTATATTTGTTGTGCGGTGCCGATACTTTCAAAAGGAGAGACCAGGCGGCGTTCGCAAACTTTTGGGAATTTTGGTAGTAAAATTTCCCCTAACTTTAACTAACTGTTGCGATTGACAGAAAAGATAGAAAAATCCTCCCTCTACATTTCTATGCTAAGTACATTTTGCAAATCGCATATTTTTCTATGATAATTGAAATATAAGCATGTAGCATCTTTGTGGTGCTACCCGATAGAGCTCTGAATGTTAACACGAAATTTCGAAACGCTCGGGAAACTCGGCTGCTCTCAATGAGATTTTTCTATTTTTTAAGTGTAATATTTGTTCGATTTTAATGAAACTCAGGCGATAGTAATCATGTTCTAAAAAAAAAAAAGAAAAAAAAGCATTTTACAATTTTCTCGGTTTCACGGTAAATACATAAAGTGTTTTTTACAAACCTACCCTTATTGTGAACGTACTCTGATTTTCTCTATCTTCCAATTATCTTCCTCTCCACTTTTCAGCCTCACACATTACACATTACACATTACATATTACACATGTGCTACATGCTAACGTATAATTTTATACAAAATTGTATTCTCTATGAACACGGACAAATTTATTTCAAGACCTAATTTATATGCTCACATCGCAAACGACGTTTATAACCAGTACCGGCTTTGTACTACCACGTTTAAGAACGTTTAGTGCGGATCACATATCGTAAAAGTTCGTGCCGGATCCGAAACATGCGCAGTGAACGTGTTAAAAATGGCAAAAATCAACTGGAGTCCACCTGACTCCACTGTACTGCTGGTAACTTGACACCAATGGAAAAAGACACTGTATCAGTCACGGGTTAATTCCATTTTCACGAGCGTTCATACTCGCGGGATCGTCTTCGTACTCGCGCGCGCGTCGCCGCTCGGCCGGCACTTCCGTGGAAAACGCAATTATTTATATGGGACTTTTATCCCCGACGCTTTGCAAGTTTGATCGGGACCAATCAGCACCGACAGATAGCCGAGAGGAAGTTGCACGCCGCACGGTATATCGGCGTAAAACTTTGGCGGAACCTACCCCTCCTCTTCTCTTGCCCCTCTGTCTCTCACCCCACAAGATTTAACTTCGCCGACTTATCAAGACTCGAGTGCAAAAGGAGGCACGGCTTCTTCTAACTCGATACGCGGAGCCCGCGGAGTTAGATAAGTTTCCTTTTTTCACCCGCCAGGCCTCCCTCTCTCTCTCTCTTTCTCGCCCTCCCCCCTCCCCCTTCTTTCTCTCTCTCTCTCTCTTTCTTTCTCAATCTCATCTCATTCTCTTTCTTCCGCATACAGTCGTTCCACGCCGAGCTGCACCAGTACAAGCACCACATCGAACTTTTTAATCAGCTCACTCAGAAGTTGATAGCGGTTTATCAGCAGGACGATACTACACGCGTGAAGAAAATGACAGAGACGATCAACCAACGATATAACAATTTGAACACGAGGTAAGTGCGCTCGTACTTGGAGTCGACGGCTTCTTCTTCTTCCTCTGCTTTTTCTTCCTCTTTCACGAAAATTCCGCGTCGCGATCCTTTGCAAGTCGCGAAACAATTTTCGTCATCAAACGAATCCGCGATCGAATCGATGTATTATCCGAACGATTACTCGGCAAGTTAGTAGCCCTTGCATGATACAGCCGGCTGATCAAAGGCTGCAACACTCTTTGTCGATGAGGTGTCGTCACGCACCTCGTATCCAATTTGTTTGGAGTTTCCCTCATCTTTTTTGTTCTCAAGAGATCCTTTTCTATTGGATTCGGAGTGCATTACAAAATTCATCGAAGAAAAGTGCTGCAGCCTTTAATTGACTAACTGCACCGAGGCTGAATTTTTCATTATCATGTCTGCTTTGTAAACTTACGTTCTCTTGTTTTTTTATGCTCTTTAAACTTTCTCCTATTATTAGTTTTCGTTTGCTCTTTGTGCTGTTTAAAGCAACAGACGTCTTAGTTACGAATGTTAATTTCGGTATGGAGCGAAGAATTTTGTGCGAATAACAAACGCCAAAACTATCGAAAGAATCAAAGTATTATTTGTCAATTTCTTCGCCAATCCTTTGTCATTTCTTATAAAAATTATTCAAGCTTGTAACGGTGCATTTTATTCAACGTTGAATAGAAAGAAATGAAAAAGAAAAGATTAATAAATATCCTTTCTCGCTTGCATTATATATTTTTTTCAAATGTTTTCTTTATTGCTCACAAATAATTTTCGGTAGTTGTAGCGTTAACTTTAACACTCGGATCGTGTTCGTAATTGCGTAGGAAAATTTGCTTTCGAATCGTCATAAATTTTCAAATAATTTCTTAAATAAATTATTGTTTGCTTTATTTTATCACTCCGAATAATGAGATCGAAACGTTTGTAAAAGGAAAATGTAAACATATTACCTGTCAGTGTATTAAATTTCGCCCGACCAACTGCGCGCTGGCTTTTTCTCGCCTCATTTTACGTGATTGTGTATCTCGTGAGCTTATTCATTTAAATACGATAGTCGAATGACCGATCGATTCGATTTGAATCCGTGATGCTCAATTCGACGCGAATGCGTTATCAAGAAGTTTGCATAATTTGTCCTTCAAGTTTCGCTGTCACTTTCTCTGAATTATTTATTATTCTGTTGAACAGTTGATTTATATTTCATTCAGTTCGCTTCGTTACCGAGATTTTACGCAACGGTAAAAGTGACGAAACTGCAAGAACTCGAAGAAAGCGATGAATGAGTAGTTCTCGTCGTGAGACTATCGCGGATCGCGAGTTCGTCGATAAAAAATTCGCAACCAGGCGGAAGCGCGCACCTTCTTCACGGAGAACGGAGGGTGGCTTATATACGCACCGCGTCGACGGTGTACAGTCCATGACCACTACCTCCGTTACACGTCCGCGGCGTCTCTCAAGTTGAGAGAACTTCGCTGCGGAATCAGACTATAGATCACACGGAGTAATGCTGTATCGACCGATCTGTTTCCAGCATCATCAATCGAGGGAAACTGCTGCACTCCGCGATGAACTCGCTCCACAACTTCGATCGGTCTCTGGACAAGTTCTTGGCCTGGCTGAGCGAAGCGGAGTCGTCGATGGAGGGATTGGAAGCGGAAGCCGATCGACTGGGCGGACGACGGGATCAAGGCGCGCTCAGGCGACCGCAACATCAACTTAAGGTAAGATTGTCACGTTCACGCGAATCTCTGCCCCTCCCCTCGCAGCACGGAAACGTAATCGTCACAGTGCGACGCGACGCGACGCGACCGCGAATTGCGATCGCTCGTTATCTCGCTAGACTTTTTCTTCCCGTCCTTCTTACCTCTCGAATCGCAATCACTCGGGAGATGCTGAAAAATCTCAAAGTCGAGTTTCAGTAACTTCACAGATATTAAATAAGTGTCAGTGTCGGGAAAGGTCTAAATTTTTGAGTCGCACGTAAATTTTTATTTATCGCATTCACAATGGCAAGAAATTATTCGTCGACTAAGTAATCGACCTTGTTACGTGCGACAACATCGCCAACATCGATGGTAATGTTCGTACATCTCTTTCAACTTTATATCATGGTCGATTTAGCGTCAAAGAGGGCATTAAAAATCATACTGAACTTTTTCACTGACACGATATATATTGAAACGCCATTTTTTTGCTTGAACTGCAACGGTAAGTGACCGCTGATATTTAATACTACGTTATTATTTATTATATCGTAGTTTAACAGTGAGTTCTTGGTTACAACTTTCGAGAATTTTATGTTGAATATCTTGTTGCGCATGTGTGCAGAATTTGACAGATTTCTCTTTTTCTCTCTCTGTCTCTCTCTGTCGACAAAAGTCGTCAGTATAGTAAGTTCGCAACATTGTAAATCGTTGCCTTCTCTCTTCAAATGTAAACTTCCTCGACGCTTGTATTTACTTGTTGCGTTTAACCGTGTAATCGCATGAGTCGCATCTGAGAAGTCGCGTGTGTTCGCAACATGTTGCGCACGCTGAAAGGGGCTTCGCGCGAAGCCGTGCTAGCTTAAACGAGTCGGTCTTTAATGAATCTTAAGTTGACCTGGTAAATCACATTATTAAGTACAAAAATAATATTCCAATATTAGCACCGGTTTATTTTTCTATTTCTATCCGCAGCTCATTAACTTCGCTCACGTTTTATTAACGAAGAATATTTACTGCGACTACATTAAGCTAATTATGTCCTAAGTAGGAAGAAGCTAATTCTCGTGTCACTAATTTAGTCATGCGAGAATCAGGTAGTCAAAAGTGAGAAAGTAGTTGCGATATTAATCGTTTTACTGTCAGTATCAATCAAGTTAAACGGATACAACGGCGTATATTTCAGTGCATTCGAAATACGAGAGACATGTATCTGTTGAAGCATGAAGAAACAGTTCGCTCCAGGAATTATAAATATCTCGCGTGCTTTGGCGTGATTTGGTGGCCATTACGTCGACTTCAGACCTCTCCGCCGACGTGGCGTCGCTCGATACAGGTTTTACGGCTTTTCGACTGATTGTCATAAAAGCGTGTCGGAGATGAAAGCCTAGTCGGCGCGTATCGACATATCCATTAAAATGGAGAAGACGCTCGATATCGAGTATCGATATAATGCGGTGACGGCCCCATCAGTCGGGGGAGCACGCGGGAGAACGTATTTCGTAGTGCTTTATATATAATTTGCGAAGCGCAAAGACTTAACCTTCCTCTCTCTCTCTCTCTTCCGCTCGCGCTCTCTCTCTCTCTCTCTCTCTCTCTCTCTCTTTTTCTCTTTCTCTTTCCCTCACGTCATGTCGGCGCGCATTATTTTTCGCGCGTTGTTTTTTCGCCGCGTTGACGCGCCACCGTCAAAGCTCGCCCGCCGTAACCCGGCGTCGCCGTCGCGCTCACGCGCGCCCTTTGCTTGCGAGCGTGATTTAGTTAGCTTGTAATTTTGCATTTGAATCGGCTGCTTTTCACGCGTGGCCCGGCGCTTTTTGCCGTTACCGATATTTTCGCGGCGCGGCGCGGCGCGGCGGTTGGACGCATCCCATTAATTCGCGCACGCGGGCGATCGTTCCCTTCGTTTGTTGCGGCAAAGCGAAGTGACGGTGATGCTCGCGGAGAATCATAGAGAATAAATTTCTCACTTTTTCTCTTTTCCTCCCTATTTGTTGCACGTTGGTAGTGTTTATTGAATTGCGAAATTTCGCGCGCCGCTTGTTCCCCCGCGTTCTGCTATGAATTTCGCGTAATTTTTACGCAAAATCATCGATAGGAGGATAAAGTTGGCTAATTAATGAAGATTATTAACGATTAATATCGATGTAAAAGCATCAGTAATAACTTTTGATTTTATCTTGCAACTTTAGTCGAATTTCACATTTTCGCAATCTCTTATTATCTTTATTCGCGTTGAATATTTCGATAAAATAGAGAAATTTGGAAGGAGTGAAAATCGTTGACTGTCGCTATCCAATCGCTGTCCTGCGTCTTATGCTTCGTCCTGAAATCAGCTTTGATATTTTGGTATTCTCGTACGCCGTGTATTTTTTCGTAACCGAGTTTTTATACATTTCGAGCCAACGAACAACGCACATACTGCGGCACCAGTCACGTGTATATCGGCGAGTTAATTACAGTCCCAGTCGGGTGATTAAAATGTTTCGCCAGCCCTTGAAATATTTAATCAGCGTGTCACCCCATCGCTCGTTGAGTAGCAAAATTTAAATCTCTGCTGATGTTTTACTTTTATAACTCTTTCCTCTTCATTTCATTAAATATCCTAATCTTATTAAAATTCTCAATATCGGTAAAATAAATTTCTTATTAAAATAAAAAGTTAAAGTAAATTGGTAGAATATTGAGATTTCAGACAATCAGATACTAAATAGTTATTGCCAATTGCTTGGAAGTTTTTATAGCAGCAGCTTGAAGTCACTTTAGTTGCTCCTAGCAAAATTTTCCTATTGCCTCAACATAGATAAAAACGGCAATAAAGACAACTATTTGTAGCATCGAAAGTAGAACAGTGATGTGTATTATGACTCGAGGTTCTCCATTGTTCCTTCCAATTCGATGAAACATGCGCAGTTGATGTGGAACCAAAATTTCGATCCATCAGTAAATTGTCTGCGGGTGAAAATAGCTCGGGCGATAACGTGAGAGACCCATCTTAATTAGTGATAGCCGACGGTACAATTGCGAGATAGTGCGGGTTGTTAATGATTACTGAACGTTCACCGGACGTTCGCTGATAATGAGATCAGATAATTACGCGCTACCTGCGCGCGATATTCGGCAGAATTGGTTGTAAAATTGCGATTGAACATCCACGACTTCAAGTTGACTGTTACAGCGAACACACACACACACACACACACATATACACACACAGTGTGTTTGAAAATTCAAGACACACCCGTCCTGTGCGGAAAGTTTCTGTAGTATTTTGCAAAAAATCGCGTGACAAAATGCTGATATATTACTGAAGGATTAACAAGCTATATAAGCACGATCTTGACGAAAATGGCCGAGACTTGTCGACTATTTCGTAGCAACGGAGAATATAAGTATGCGGTCCATCCTCAGCCGCTCGTTGCTCGCATACTCCGTCTGTCGTTGCCAGCTGATATTCATTGTTATTAAAAGCCAACGATCATTTTCTTAGTCTTGGCCATTTTCGATGAGAACGACGTACCTACAGAAATAGGCCGCCTCACATGTTCTGGTGTTCGTCATCTTTCATCAATATCTCTATTATTTATCGTTTATTTCTCTCTTGCAACCAAAGGATGCTTACTTGTTAAAGCAAATATTATACCTCAAAATGTTCGGTCACTTTTCTCCAATTTTTTATTCCTTGATATTTCAAAATGTTACGTTCCACTTTGGTGGTTTGTAAAATGTGCTGGAGGATTTTTCTATTCGGTTTAATCTTTCACTTCTATCAACACACAATTACACAATGTGTGTTTTGAATTTACGCACGGTTCGCGCGCATGCTCCCTAAAATCTAGCCACCGATTGTAGGACTACGAATGTTCTCTCTCGCTATTGAGCGCCTCTGGGTGATCGTGTATATAATATTTTTTATTTGCCTAAGCACGCGTCGTCAGGACCAATCGACGCGGTGCGATGGCGAGCTATACGTTACGTTACGTTGTATTTATACGCCCGCGTCGCGGCGGTACTTATTATCGACAGGAAGAAGCACGATTACTGTCGGTGAGCCAGACTTTGATCAATCGCGTGTAATATTTAAGGGCAAACGATCCGCGCTGTTGAACACGGCGAGGGTTTACCTCCCTACATTTCTGTGGAAGATGCCGGCGGAGCACCTGCGGTGGTCAAAATTCGCAATGCAAATGCGGAGAGAGAGAGAGAGAGAGAGAGAGAGACGCGCTACATAGAGAGCGCGCCGGGAGATAGTCCGCGGAGATTCTCCCTCGTATCGATTGCCGTACTCGCGTTGCGACGTAATACACGGATAACAAAGTGATCAATCCCGATGAATTCTCGATGGTCTTCGGACTCGTCGGCCGCGCGCGAATTTTGACCGTTCGGTGCGCACCTTCGCGGCAAACGCGATACGTTTCGACGCAGCCGCTCTTATCGATTTTCTAATTGCTCGAGCGGAACGACGTTCGATATGCTGCATTCGCCGAAGTTTCGAGCGGCTCTCCGATGATGGATGACGTGGGTGCATTGTAAGACGGCACACGAGAACTCCCACGTAATTCTACATGTGTTGTACCTGTCGGGTCGCGGCTCGCGATTGTTGTGTCTAGTTTGAAAACGGCGGACGCTGGTAGCGTTCAATAGGCGTACACGTCGTATGTGTCCGCGATAAATGACGCGGGCATAATTTATGGACTGCAATTATCAGCAATACGAAAACAACGGTTATTTGACAAGCCGTATAATAACCGATTGGAGTTCGTCATGCGATCCATCATATCCATGGCAAAATGGCCGTAGCATTACATAATATCCCGTCATTCGATAGTTTACGCTACATATACCCGTTACCGCTAAACGTCAGGGATTACGTTGTTTGCTTTGCGATACGGTTATGCTTGGAGATACTTCCGCATTGTTTTCCTGCTTTTATCTTCCTTTTATCGAGTAGCTTTTTCTTCCGATATCCGTATATGTGTGCACCGTAATCACCGTAAATGTTACGTTTTACCGCCGAA